GTTGGGCTATTGTTGTTCTTGTCTCCCGAGGCAGATGGAGCTCCGTCGCGTCAATGTCCGGTGTTTGTGTGCCTAGAACGGCATTCACAGGTCTAGAGTCTACATAACTCGAGACTGACTCCCTGTGAATGCCGTTCAGGGCCAGTCGGTATGCTGACGAGTCCAGAGGCTGCTTGATGAACCTCTGGACTTCGTCCGTCAGGTTGTATAGATGCCTCCTGACGTGCCTAGGTGAGGGCTCCTCTGCAAGCAGCTGTCCATTCTGATGGCAACTTCTGTGGCTTCCGATCAGAAACTGCTTGCAGAGCATTATGTTGTGCTCCTTAATTGGGAGCATTTGTGCCTCGTTGTGAAGGTGCTGTTCTGGCGACATCAGGAGGTATCCAGTCGCTGTCCTGAGTGCGGTTATATTGAGGAAAAGTAAATTGAAATTAGATTGCGTTAATTGAAATTGAGCAGTGTAAGTTCAAAATGAGAAAATATAAATCCAAATGAGGAAGCGTAAAATTTAATTGAGAATTTATACCTTGATATTGAGAAATGTAAAATCATATTGAGAATGTGAAAATTCAAAATTAGAAAGAGTAAATTCAAAATGAGAAAAAAATAGATTCAAAATGAGATAATATAAATTTGAAATGAGACTTTGTAGGGTAATGAAAATCAAATTTTATTAAAAACAACATTTATCAATGTAAGTAAGCAAAGATGTGACCAAGGAACATTACATCCCAACATGCATATTATTTAATACAAGTGCGTCTGTATGAAAATTAGTTGAGTGCTGTACAGCCCTTGCGAAATCTCCATTTATTGTTATTTTCGCGTTATCTATAACTGTTTCCAAATACTGTAATCTCTGTTCGCAAAGTCCGGAGGGATGAACATTTGGCACATGCAGGTTCGCTTTTACTTCCATTTTAACTTTAGCCCAAATATTCTCTATTGGAATATGGACCTAGACGCAAAACTGTGGCTTCTCCTCCCGAATTGTTTGCCACTTTCCTTTCTATCGAAGAGTGACATTGGGCATTGTCGCAGACCATTACCAAATCCCGCACATTATCCCCATGTTTTGCCAACGCTTAATGAGACTTCCTACCCAGCTCCTCTCTCCCCTCCCCCACAAGCTTCGGTCGTGAGCGAACCCCTTCTACGCTCCATGGGCAAAACACCGGTGGTTGTTACTGAAAGAAAAACCTAATCTCTTCTGTTTGATATTTTATATTCTCATCTCGAATTTCCTTTTTCTCATTTTGAATTTACGTTTTCTCATTTTGAATTTACTTCTTATTTTGAATTTACACATTCTCAATATGAATTTACATTTCTCAATATCAAGTTATATATTCTCAATTTAATTTCACACTTTCCCATTTTGATTCACATCTTCTCATTTTAAACTTACATTTCTCAATTTCACTTTATGCATTCCCATTAAAAATTACAGTTTCTCAATATAATTTTACATTTTCCCATTACAATCTCATATTTTCTCATTTTGAACTTGAAAAAGTATAGTACTAGGTGGCTGTGTGAAAATTATGTTAGCATTCACAAGTGGTGGTCAAACCCCTGTATGGTTTTGCTCCATCGCATCGCAATGTTTTCTACACAGAGTTAAAGTTCCCCTTGGTGGAAATTAGTAGTATTTTTCATTACTTTCGGTTATCCTTAGGAAAATTTTGCGCTTAATATTTTAGTAAAAATCTTAACCATCTACATATAAGCCATTTTTTAAACAGTGGGTCAGAAAGGCCTGTTCTGCTGGGAGTTGATGGGTAAAACTGTAATTTAACATAACAGTAGATAAGATTATTACAAACATTTATTAATAGCGACATAAAATACTCCAATAACTTAACTTTTTTTTTTTTATTTCTTTAAATGTATATGGTACATACGGATCTATAGAGAACAATGTATGTATGTATATACCTCAGACCTTCTTATGTTCGCTCATCCATGAGCGCCAGACTCTCAAAATTTTAATACAAGTAGGAAGTAACAATATTTAAATTTAAAACTAATTCTATAATGAAATAAAGAGAACTATAATCTGAATTGGCATGGCGAATGCCTAACGCTGACGAGATGATTTGATAAGATTAGAAGCCTCATGGCTCTTTGGAATCTACCTTATGTGCAGTAGCGCCGGCGTTTCCTGACGCGCCGGCCTCGCCGCCGATTATTTTTGAAGTTGACCACGCCGCCGCCGCAAAGCCTGTCGGCGTAAACCTCTATGCCCTAGGACATCGCAATGTTAATTGGACCATATTTTTATATCGTCACCTGAAATCGTCATCGTTGAAATGCAAAAAGTCATAACTAGTAAAAAATTCAAATTCACTTTTATATGATGGATTTCATCGAATTACAGCTCCCCACATCATTTTATAAAAAAATAAATAACATATTAGTCACGACTTTTTCCATTTCATTCACGATGATGTTACGTCTTTTTGCATTTCATATGCATATTGGTTAATTTTGGATACTCCTTGAACCTTGGGGACACTCTTTACATGAGTGCATGGAGCACCTAGTCGCGTTTTTGCATTGTAGCTTGACACATGTACAAACATACACATGGGCGTAGCCAGGTAACTTTCAAAATTTCCTTATATATATATATAAAATAGTACCCTGAAATGCCAGCTTAATAGGGTCGAGCTGTGCTTGGTGCATTTTTGGTGCTTTTGTTTTTAGTTTGAAGACTTCAAATTAGTAAATCTTAAAAAAATGGAAGCAAAATTTATAGCAATCGTAAGTGTGCTAAGCAATTTTACAAAAATTTGAACAAAACCATGGCACAGTGACAATCATAAGCGACAACGAAATATGTGCAGCACCTTCAATAATGCCAGAAGAAATGGACCGTTGTGCAAGAAACATTGATTTTTATTAATTTGAATCGGCATCCTTACAATAAAATTATGTATTCTATCATTCTTGCTTCGCTTCTAATATTTTTCATTGCGTATGCACAAGCACAAAGCAACAACATTTTCGTATGCTTTGTTGGAATATATTGGCGCCAGTTACCTTCAGCGTTAATTTGGTTGTTGTCCAGAGTTTTATCGCAATGTTCGGGTGTCCGTTTCATTGTTACACAAATTTTCGGGTTAGCTGCGGGTGTCCGAGTGTGGTGTTCGCTTGTGCTGAATTTTTAGCGAGGGTGATCGAACAGGCTCGTTCGTAATCAAAGCAGCTGTCGGGTGTGCATCCCGATCGAACACATGACGGCCGAGTGTGGCGTTCGCTTGTGCTCGATTTTTAATGAGGGTGATCAAAAAGGTTCGATCATTCTCAAAGCTGCACTCTGATACATACAGTATCGGTAAATTCAATTTATTTGTATATGGAAGAAATCCGCAACACCTATGACCGATACTGTACATACGTATGGCTGCATTGTAAAAAAAAGGTCATAAAATATGGTTATAACGATTGAAAGTGTTTTACAATCGCATATCATTACCACGGGTCGATTTTTCAATGCCAACGTTCTGGCCACAAACGTGCACCCACTTTTCACGCAAATTTACGCCTTTTGGCAAACCAAACATATGCACAAACTTGTTCCAATCACACAGAACTTCATTTTATAAGATAAATATGTATTAAACCAAAATTTATAATTAAAATCGCTGCAGAAAACACATTCAATCGCTAAAAAATCACTACGAAGAGGTAGAAGACGGTGTAAACAAAACCGAAAAACGTCAAAAACGCTACGAAAACTTTTTTCTGAAAATCGATTACAAATACAAAGATGGCTGATTAGGTGATCTGTAGTCGTTGGTTCATGGGTCCACATAGAACCTTCGCGTTGGCTTTGGCGTTGGCGTTGGCGTTGGTTCGACAGAACGCACGTTAAGAGTATGCAATGTATAGTAATCGAAAAAATAATCAGTAAAACAACCCCTTTCACATTCGAAAATGCATTTTTTCCCCAGGGCGATGTCCTAAGAAAAGTGGGACATTCAATTTTGCATTACCTAGTATCGAGAAATTAATGTGATTTAATATGAAATTTTTGGGACTTTGTTGAATACATTAGAATGCTGATTACACATTAAACAGTACTTGGATGTAAATTAATAATAAAACATAGTTTTATTTATAAAACCTACAACCATATTTATTAAAAAAATTATTAATAAAGTATAAAGGCACTTTTGTGTTAAGTTTTGGTGTTAAGGGAAACCGAGGGAAGACCACGTAAACCGAAAAAGTAAAGTCATTTTCGTATTAATATAAACGTCCCGAGAGACGAAAGAAATACAAATTATGGGAAGACGTAAATCATTTCCGTGTTGAAATAAACGTCCCGCGAGATGAGAACAATAAAAGTCCCATATAATTATTATGAGAAGACGTAAATAATTTCCATCTGAAAGTAATCGTCCCGAGAGAGGAAAAAAGATATTTTTCATAAATAATTATTGTACAAAGACGAAAAAAATTTCTCTTAAAACAGGGCGACCTTTTTAATCCCAAATATTAGGATAATAATTATTTTGGGTCTCTGGTTAAGTGGTCCATTCTTCAAATTCTTATCTAATTCATGTCGAATCCTTACTACTTACTTTAGGTTGGACAAGAAATACAGACATGAGCCACTTAACAGTAGAAAGGAATTTTATTTTTTGAATTGTGTCGTTATTGCAGAGGACCATCGACATATATGTACTTTTATCATTTAACAGAAAAACCTACCATAACTAGTGCTGATAAATTAAAACCCCATAAATATTTTTTAGAAATTATAAAAAAAAGCCGTTTTCACATCACCGGACACGAAATCATGAACTAGATACATTGNGATCTACAATTCTATTTTACTTTAGTAAAAGCCGTTTTCACATCACCGGACACGAAATCATGAACTAGATACATTGCTGACTAGAAAAACTTCGAAGTCGCCAAAAATTGAATTTGATGCATTTCCTACCGATTGAGATCGAAACTCCCACCTGTTTCGCATAAAAATGCGTTCACGCAAGATTCTTATCATTGCTGGGTTTCTTACAACCTGGACTTTTATAACCTATTATTTTTTAATACGGAATAGTACCATGTACCCGTCAAGGGATCGTTTGCTTCTAAAAAAAATAAATAAATTGGAACGTGAATCACATGCTGAGAACAAAGAAAACAGCAGACTTGTTGGACAACTCATTGGCATTATAAAAGAAAAAATTATAGCAAATGACGTAGAGGAGTCACTTCCATCTAAGCAAACAAAAGATCGCCCTATAGGCATAGTCGCCCTTTCACCAGATCACCTGCTGGGCTTACAAGAACCTGGTCAAGTAAATAGCCATGAAGATAATCCACCGGAGGATGAGATAGGAGACAGCGGTAAAGATCCACCAATCGTCAAGCCAATCATGACTCATATGCCAAATGGAGATCCCGTCATACCAATATTAGTAATTGCATGCAATCGTGTATCTATTCGAAAGTGTCTAGACAACTTGGTTCAATATCGCCCAAATGCTGATCAATTTCCAATCATAGTATCACAGGTGAGCAGTCTATAACAAATAAAATAATTGTTTATATGCATACTATGTATCAGGGTTGTCGCGAGTATTCGCATTCGAAACCGCGGAGCTTCCGCATTAATTTTAATATAAAATATTTTCAAGTTTCGCATGATCATATTTATTTTGTCGCCTCTACCAGCAAGTGCTTCGAGCGAGCAGTTATTTAGTAGTGCAGGTTTGATTTATGACCCATTAAAAACAAACTGAACCCTGACGGGCTGCACTATTACTTTTTATAAAATGTAATGCTCAAATTTTTAAATTCAAGTACTAAATAAAATACAAATTATTAAAAATTACCTNCGACCCATTAAAAACAAACTGAACCCTGACAAGGCTGCACCATTACTTTTTATAAAATGTAATGCTCCAATTTTTAAATTCAAGTACTAAATAAAATACAAATTATTAAAAATTACCTAATTTACTTACCTAAATTATTTCTTAAAAATACTTGACAACCGTATCCACGTTTGTACGCATCCGCTGATGCTAGCTTTTAGATATTCGTATCCGCATTCCCATCACCGGATGACTAAAATTGCGCATTCGCAACATCCCTACTATGTCGATTTAATGTATTTTAAATGAATTCGTAGGACTGTGGTGACCAACAAACAAAGAAAGCTATACTGAGTTATGAATCGCAAGTCACATTGATAGAACAACCAGACCTGTCGGACATATTAACGCCACCACGAGAGAAGAAATTTAAGGGATATTACAAAATAGCGCGCCATTATGGTTGGGCATTAAATACCACATTCCAAAAAGGCTACGAATATGTCGTCATTGTTGAAGACGATTTAAACGTTGCTCCCGATTTCTATGAGTACTTTTTAGGAACACATACTTTACTGAAACAGGATCCTTCACTTTGGTAGATAGAAAATTCGCAATAATTGAATATTTCTCGAACATAAAACATAAATTATGCATATGAATTTGATTAGGTGTGTATCTGCTTGGAATGACAATGGCAAGGATAAGTTTGTTGATAACTCAAAGCCTGAGGTCTTGTATCGAACTGATTTTTTTCCGGGACTTGGATGGATGCTTACTAGAAATTTATGGCAAGAGTTGTCAGTGAAATGGCCAAAGTCGTAAGTTTCATTCAACATTTTTGTCCGTAAATTTGGATAAGCGATATCAACTATTCACTCCACCAGATTTTGGGACGATTGGATACGGCATCCAGAACAGCGAAAAGAACGAGCCTGCATCAGACCTGAAATATCCCGGACGAGAACCTTTGGAAAAATTGGCGTTTCAAAGTGAGTACTGAGTTTTGTAGAAATTTCATTGACATTTCCTCATCAGAGTGGATTTACAAACAATGAATTTTTTGCAGCGGCTTGTTCTTCGACAAATATCTGAAGTATATAAAACTTAGTGAACATTTTGTAAATTTTTCTAAAATGAACCTCAGCTATTTATTAAGGGTAAGATGTAGCTTAAAATCTTAAAAAAAAAATCACTCCATAAAATATTATGTTTAGGAAAACTACGATCGCACATTTTTGAATGATGTTTATTCTTACCCTATTGTAACGTACGAAGAACTTCGTAGGAATCTCATTAAAACAGACGGACCCGTTCGAATACAATACACCACTAGAGAGCAATATAAACATATAACATCAATTTTAGGACTCATGGGTGACTTCAAGGTGAATACCGTTGGGTCTTTTGCTAAAATATTTTCCGTAAGCAGCCTTATTTGCTCCCTCTTAATGTATGCTTTTAAATTTTGCAGAGTGGAGTACCGCGTACTGCCTACCATGGCATTGTTTCATTCTTTTTCCAAAAGCGTCGAGTTTACTTGGCTCCAAATGCTAACTGGAAAGGATACGATCTCTCATGGAGCTAACAGAATATCATCACCGTTTTGAATTTAAACTAGAAAGCAAATTTTGAGAGCTAATATTTTTAATGTATAATACCAAACATAGCGTTAAAAGCACCCCATATTAAATTCATGTGTCGTTTGTCAAAAGTGCTTTTTCATACATTTGCATCTGTGTATCGTACTACTGTAAAATATGTATAAATCCCAAGCCGAATACGAGGACATGTTGATTATTAATAACTATTAGCCACAACCAAAAACTAAATTAAGTTAGTTTCGTGCGAGTGAATTTAAATTTTTTAGTTTTATTTTTTTTTATGGTACTAGTTGATTAGTATCACAATTTACATGTAATATAAAAAATACTATTTTTACACTATCACTCCTGCGAACTGAAAGAAATATCTACAAATTCCTGCTGGAATAATTTTTGCTCATTCAATGAATCCACTAATATATTATGTATAATATGCTCTCTAAAACATGCAATGTTAACCTATTTATAATTATACTATTTTTGTGTGATTTTCCTTTAAGTCATAGATAGATAATAAGTTTGCCAATATTAAAGGAAAACAATAATTTTTGTTGAATACAAGTGCATTTGTATCTTTTCCTATTTACCAAGTGACAGACTTTTGTGATTTGTATATGTTTTCCGAAGAAGTTCTTCCTCAAATAAAGTTTGCAATGGTAATCTGCGAGACCAGAAAAAGCAATGTAAATACAGCAGTACGCTACGCAGCTACGTTCGTAATCACGGAAGCGCACGGGGATCGTGGTGCCGATGTGTNTATGTAAATACAGCAGTACAAATATGTAGCTACGTTCGTAATCACGGAAGCGCACGGGGATCGTGGTGCCGATGTGTTTGTGCGAAGGATACAAAACGGATAAATATGCATACATACTTATGTATAAAAAATTGTTGCAATATTGCAAAAAAAAATGTATAAATTATTTTATTGTGCCACAACAAGTTCTTGTATAGCAATGAATATTACTGAATAAGGTATTTTTAAGTACCAATCACTATAAATAAATATACTTTATAAGCTCTTTGAAACTTTTAATGAATTATTCTCATAATCTAAACCTCATCAGCTTCATCGATTTGTTCGCAGTCTATGTCGCTACAATCTGAGTCGGATCTTGATGGCATCAAGTGATCTCTTGTCCCGAGCGACGAGCCATTTTTCTCTCTTTCAATATTAGTGGCGTTGTTTATTCGTTTTTGCAGGAAGTTAGCGTTAGCATCGCCAAAAACTCTCTCAAGCTCTGCCAGGCCGTTCGAGGTTGAATTTTCTCCTTCTAACGGCAATGTTGCGTACTTCAATGCCAAGTAAGTATCTGTCACCGCAGCATTTGTCAAGGCATTTTCATTCCGGCAGTACGAGCTCATATTAACGGGAGCTGACGTCATGGGTAGTGAGTTATATTCCATAAAACGCTCTTCAAAACCGCCCGAGGGCCTGTATTGCTCGGCAGAAAGGCCGACCTGTGGATGGCTGCTAATGTTATTGCTAGCGCAGGTCGTATTTCCAACTGCTGCGGCTGCTAAACTGTAAGGCAGAGCGAAGTTTAACGGTTGACCCCTTGCAAGGATTGCGTTCCTCGCACTCTCAATCACAGGCAATGGCGGCATAAGGGTCGGTGTCGTTGACGAAGATGTGTTCGACGATGTATTGTTGTTGTAAGGTCGCAATGTCGGTGCCATTGGTGTAGTTGTCACACCGCCATTTAACATGATCGACTGAAAAGGATTAGGACCCGCAGGATTTTGACTGAAAAGCCAAAGACGGTCGCCAACCACCATTGGCCGCGCCAAGCCGCCAATGCCTAATTGAGCGTAATAGTGAGATGCGAGTGTTTCAACATCGGCAGTATATTTACGTTTCCATTTAGTGCGGCGGTTTTGAAACCAGATTTTGATCTGCAAGAAGATGTGGTGTAGAAGCGCCCGGTCGAAGTAAAGATAATCAGGCAGGTTCTGCAATTCACTTCCGAGTAAATTTCAACCAAAGCGATTTTGAATTCAAATTGAATGGGGTTGAAATTCACTCAGGAGTGAATCGCAGAACCTGCCTGAATCTAAATAAGTTATGTAATACCTGAGTTTCCGTCAAATGTAATTGCTTTGCCAGTGCTGTCCGTTTAGCGACCGATAAATATTTGCCCCGCTCGAATTCAGTTTCCAAAGCTTTGATCTGCGAAGCTGAGAAAGCGGTTCGCGGCCGCTTCTTGCGATCGTCGTTAATATCTGAAAATAAATGTAGATATGAGTAAATGTGGAATGGTAGACTAAAAGAAATAAATATTTGTTAAAAAGCTTAAAAATAAATTGCAAAATTGTGCTAAACAAAGTTAATATTAATTTAAATATTTATAAATAGAAGAAATTGTTTCAGATATCAATTACATGTAATATTTGGTAAATTTTAGTCAAGAAAACTTCAGCGTTAGCTAACCTCTTTTTTATTCTATGTACATTAGAGTGGTCCAAAAACAGTAAAGTCGGAATTGTAATGCTCTCACCCCCTAGGATTGTACTATATCGAAAAAGTATACCCCAATTTTTTTATTTTGAAATCAAAAAATATTTAGAGGTCGCTCAAAGCGCTCCAAGTTGTCCATGTATTTTTATATGGGAAAAAACAACTTTTCGTAGAAATGAGATAGAATTCTTGAAAATCAATATTTTTCGATTGGAAATCAATGGTTCTCTTCAGGAGACTTTAAATAACAATACCCAATTGTTTATATATGTAACTATTTTTTAATACAAACGATTTTTTATTGGTCCCCCATTGCATTTTTCGGGGTTTTTTTTGGGTTTTTGGCGGACCTATAAATTATAGTTGCGATGAAAAATGGTTAAATAGACAATCAGGTATTATTATTGGGAATCTCCTGCAGAGAAACAGAGTTTTTCGATTGAAAAATATTGATTTTTTAGAATTCTATACCATTTCTACGAAAAGTTGTTTTTCCCCATATAAAAATACCTCTAAATAAAAAAAGGGTATACTTTTTTTCGGTATAGAACAATCCTAGGGGGTGAGAGCATTACAATTCCGACTTTACTTTTTATCATACATTTTTAGACCACCCTAATGCACATACATACATATATGTTTTTCTTAGCACAAGAAAATGTTCATCCGCACATTAGTAGTTGCTACACTCATTCTGCCGGACACAAGGGTGCGTTCAGAAATGCATCAAGCCAAAGCATCAGTATTTTATTTCCATCCGCGGATGCGAATATCTAACAGCTAACATCTGCGGATGCTATAATTAGAAACTAGCTTAATGGCGAGATTGTTGTTTAAACAGTACTTACAAGCCAAACCAGATGTGTAAGGTTTCTCTAAAGCTTTTTAAAAAGAACTCTTCATTCTCATTCCCTTGGCTATTTCAAAATTTGGGTAATCTGTAACTTCGTCAGCGTTTTTCGATTTTAGTTTCTGTAATTCATTTTTAATACTTTCTCTGCGATTCTCTGCGACTGGTTTGAAAAAAGGGTGCTTATAGCGAGCTAAATAGGTGGATATGGAAAATAAATTATTATTTTCTAGGAATGAAAATTTTGAACAAAATTCTGTTTTCAAAGTGCCGAATCGGATCAGAATATTGCACCCGTTTTTTATAAGCATTTGAATATCAGATAGTTACGTAATTCTTATCTAATTAAAGGTCAGACCTATAGCTTTTTAATTATTTGAGCATCAATTCCCTTTATAGCCAGAAGTTTTTAGCCAAGGATCCAATGTATATCCCTATGAAAAAAATATTGCTCGACAAGTAAACAAAAGTACCGTTTTTAAAATTTTTGCTAAAAATAAATTCCCCAAAGAGCCTCATTTGAAATTATTGAAACCAATATATGTAACATCAAAAGCAAGTCACGAAAATGTGGTTAAGAATTACAGTGCACACTTTCTTCTTTTGTGTCTAGTAGTTTTTTTTTACGATAGGTCCACAAAAAACTTAAAGAAAGAAACCAATGCGGGTATTTAAAGCACAGAAAAAAAATATCATTAAAAGGACTATGTTCTCAATGACGCACGTCAAAGGTCAAGGTAGAAGTGGGAACCCATTGATAGCTCTGTTATATAGCTTAAGAAATAATAGAGGGATTCATGAAAAGTCGCAAAGTTGTTGCAAATGTCGCATTTGTCGCAAAATTTGCCACTTTGCAACACAGCTGATTACTTTTGTGTGGAAACTTTCTTGCGACGTTGCCATATTATTTCAGCCGGCAATCATTGAAAAGACAAAGTCGCGAAACACATGTTTTTTTATTGTCTTCAATTAATTCAAGAAAAAGTATATCAGTTAAATCTGCTTCGAAATATAATTGTAAAAACTTTTATTTTTCTCTAACGCACGGCATTTTTAAAAAATGTTACATTTGCAATCCGGAGTTGCGATAGGTCGTTCATAAAACTTTGTTCGCAACATTGCCATTT